AAAAATGTTAGTTAGTGACTTTTGGCAGCAATGGGACGAAATGAAAATCGACTTCCAGTTGGAAATAATTAACTTTATTTACTTTAACAAAAATAGCAAGGCGAAAAACAATAAGTTACAAAAAGCTGTGTACGTTACGACGGCCAAGATGAATCTACCTACATTAGGGTAGAATGGACCCTCGCAGGGTCGCTCTTAAGGAAAATAGATACTTAAAGCTGTCATTATAGTTTCATATATATAGTCCAGTCCTAAAGGACCGTATTCTGTGAACCACTTATTGATGCGTCGACACTCGACACTAAATCAGATGGGGACACAAACTGTCACATACATAACATATCTGTACTAAACAATCGAAAAAAAGAGGCGTCGGATTTAGGTTGGAAATGAAGCAGTTTTATATGTAAAATTATATGCTGAATGTCATCGATCGTTATGAAGCTCAAATTTTTGGATATAACTGAACTGCAGTCAGTTTCTCTCAGTGAATGTACAGAGTGGCGCATCTCATACGCCGCGTAGGCTCCAAGGAGAACGACAGTTTGTATTGAAATGAGATTTTGTGATCATATTATGTAGGTTAATTCAGAGGACTTTTTAAAAATATAGAGAGTTCCACAGGGTGTCCCCAAAAAAAGTTACATATCAAGGTTGTGTTTCTTGTAATGGAACACCCTATATATTAATTGATTTTCGAATTTTGGGAGAAAAATAAACGAGTTCTATAAGAGAAGTATATGACTAAAATGTAATATTTTTGACATATTTAACATTTTCTATAAATAAAGAACAATTTTTAAATTACAATAAAAGCTACCTAAATTAGATTTTACCCGGTATAGCCTAATATGTAGTTAAATTAACTATTGTGCTTTAAATCAAATTAAAACTTGATCCAAAAAGTTATAGAGGGTGAGTAAGGTAACAAAATTAATATTGAACATTGGTCACCTTTAAAAGGATGTTACTCTTTTATTTTAAATGGAACACCCAGTGTATTATTGTTCAAAATACTATTAAGGTTGCCTACTTCAACATATGTAGCTGTCTAATTAGATAATAAAGATCCACTGACGCAAAATCATAACAATTAAAATATATAGGAAAATCTTTGTGTGAGGGGTAGGCAATCTTAATAATATTTCGAAGACATATAAATTCCCCATTCAATACCGGAAAAATATACTGGGTGTTCTATTTAAAATAAAGGAGTAACTTGCTTTTAAAAGTGAATAATATTCCATATTAATTTTGTCTCACCCTGTATAACTTTTTGGGTCAAATTTGAATTGGGTTTAACATACAATGGTTACTGTTATTAAATATGCGGCTATACAAAGTCACTCTACTCCTGATGCAGCTAGATTACACAAAGCTATGGCCAAGAGTGGATCTATCCCCAACATGGCACTTAAGAAATCTGACGGAAGCTACACGGAGGGAGAGGAAGAGAGAGCAAATCTCCTACTTTATACACACTTTCCAGGTAGCATACCTATTGATACTTATGTAGCTCCCACTGAACCCCACAATCCTTGCAGGGAAGATTGGGAAGTGGCAAGCTAGTAATAACAGAACAAAAGCTGAAATGGGCGATCGACACCTTTCAGCCCTATAAAGCAGCAGGAGTGGATGGGATCTTTCCTGCCCTTCTAAAGGAGGGTCAGCAAATAGCTACTCACCATCTACTAAGCATTACAAGAAGCAGTCTAGCGATGGGATATATACCAACCACATGGAGAAGAGCAAAAGTAATCTTCATACCCAAAATAGGCAAAACTGACTGGACAAATCCCAAGTCATTTAGGCCTATTTGTCTCACATCGTTCATACTAAAAACGCTGGAGAAAGTAGTTGACAACCATATTGGAGAAAATCATCTAAAGGTTAAACCACTGCATGATAGTCAGCATGCATATAGAACGGGCAGATCCACAGAAACTGCTCTGTACCAATTAACGGAGCTAATACAGACAAGTCTGGATAGCAAAGAAACAGCAATTTGTGCCTTCTTGGATATTGCGGGGGCGTTTGACAATATACCACATAAGGTGGTCAGGCGATCTCTAGAAACAAGAGGGGTGAACAGAACTATTATTCGCTGGTTTTGGGAAATGCTGTCAACACGAACAGCAGAGGCTCAGATGGGCACCAAAACTGTAGCTGTTAAAACAACGCAAGGAACTCCACAAGGTGGAGTAACCTCCCCTTTGCTGTGGAGCTTGGTGGTGGATGAACTACTAGATGAATTAACTCTAGCGGGAATACACTGCATTGGGTATGCAGATGACATAGTCATGATCGCTCGGGGGAAACATGAAGGCACCTTGTGTGATATTATCCAAAGAGGACTCCGTATCACTGAGAGATGGTGTAGGACTGTCGGGCTGAGTATCAACTCAGACAAAACCGCGATAGTGCCATTCACCAGAAGGCGAAGTCTGAAAAACTTGAAAAGAATCCAACTAGATGGAAAGGAAATACTGCCAACACAGGAAGTTAAATACCTGGGAAGTTAAATACATAGAGAAGCTGAATAAATTAGGCAAAGAAAACAAAGTCCTCCTACACTGGGTGCCTGCTCACCAAGGGAGGTAAGAAAGAAGGCAATGAAAAAGCAAATAATCTAGCTAGGAAAGGAGCGAACACTCCACTAACTGGACCAGAACCGTTCTGCTTTCCAAGTGGTAACCAACTCAAGGCGGAACTCAAGAACTTGGAAGATTCCATCCGCAACCTGGAATGGAAATCTTGCAATGGTCTAAGACACTCGAAGAAGTTTCTGAGGGCTTATGATCAAGAAAAATCACAGATCTTCCTGGGTCTGAGTAAGAACAATCTTCGGATTGTCACGGGGTTTTTAACAGGACACTGTCTCCTCAATGAACACCTCAGTAGATTGAAACTAAGAAGAAACGGCGAATGCAGATTCTGTGGGGAAGATGGTGAAACACCAGTACACCTCATCACTGAGTGCGCCGAGACGACAACCATTCGTGCCATGGATTTTGGTACGACTGATATTGGAGATGGAGAACTACCCTCTATAAAACCGTCCCAGATACTGGCTTTTGTCAAAGCCCTGGGACTGTATGATGAGTTATGATTCAAGAAAGGGGACACAATGGATCTGTAAGGTCGAAGTGATTAACCCCCCTCCCACTCATTCTAAATTCTAAAAAAAAAAATACAAAGTCAACTAAAATTTAGGTGTTATCGATGTTATTAGCTGTTATCGAACTTTAAAATTTACTCTTCAATTTCACAAAATGTGAAATATGTCAAAAGTTGCCTTAGATTTTAGGTATATGCTTCTTTAATAAAACTCGCCTTCATTTTTTTCCTAGAATCCGAAAATCAATTAATATATAGGGTATTCCATTAGAAAAAAAACAAAACTTTGATGTGTAACTTTTTTTGGGGACACCTCCATAATTCTATATATTTTTATAAAATGCTTTCAGTTTACCTACATATGCTGCCAAAATTTAATTTCTATATAAACTGTCGTTCTCCTTGGAGCTTCCGCGGCGTATGAGAGCCGCCACCCTGTATGTAATCAATAGTGCTGAAGCCGCTTCTAAACCCTGCTTGTTCTCGTTGTTGTGCAGCGTTTAGCGTGTTTTGTATTCAGTTAAAATATCTTCGTCTAAATATCTTGTATATTACTGGTTTAGTCAGATAAGTTAGAATATTTAGTTAGATAATAGGCTTTCCATATCTGAATAAAATATTTGCAAAAACTATTGCTACTTGTTGATTCATACAATATCAATAAAGTTATCTAGAAAAATTCCACTATGAAGGGTAAATCTTATCAGCAAATTAATAACACACATATAATAAAATTCGTAAACAACATAATATGACGCCTATAGTCTAAACTGCATTTTCGTCATTTAGTTTAAAAAATGATAAAAAATATAGCTCTGTAATGCCCAACTCAAAGGCGAATAATTGAAGTAGCAAATGAACTAAATTAGTATGAAGTTAAAGACTTAAAATTATATTTATTTAAAAATAAGAAAGCGTCGCAACTTTGTCAAGCAAAGATTTCAAGTAGGATACATAATGTCACTTCCATCTTAATGTATGACTATAAATGTCGTATTTGACTCCTTCCTAAATATTGTTAAGAATCGTTAAAATACAGTAGAATGTAGAATGTTTAGGAGGGGAGTTAATCACCGCGACCTTACAGATTTATTTTGTGTTCCCCTTTCTTGAATTACAAATCATCATACAGTCTCAGGGCTTTAACAAAAGCCAGTATTTGAGATGGCTCCATAGAGGTCAGCTCTCCATCCTCGACATCAGCCGTACCAAAGTTCCTGGCACGAATGGTCGTCGTCTCGGCGCACTCAGTGATAACGTCATAAGGTGTTCTGGTATTTTCCCATTTTCTCAGCTTCAGCCTACTGAGGTGTTCGTTGAGGAGACAGTGTCCCGTTAGAAACCCCGTGACAATCCGAAGATTGTTTTTACTTAAATCAAGGAAAACCCTTGATTTTCCTCGGTCGTAAGTTCTGAGAAACTATTTCGAGTGTCTTAGACCGTTGGAGGACACCCATTCCAAGTTACGGATGGAGTCTTCAAGATTCTTCATTTCCGTTTTCAGTTGTTTCCCGTTTGGAATACAGAACGGTTCTGGTCCAGTTAGTGGAGTGTTCGCTCCTTTTCTAGCTAGATCATTATATGCTTTTTCATTGTCTTCTATCCCTTGGTGAGCAGGCACCCAGAGGACTTTATTTTCTCTGCCTAATTTGTTGAGCTTCTCTAGGCATTCTTTGATCAACTTTGAATTGATGGTTACTGAGTTGATGGCGTTTAGTGCTGCTTGACTATCGGATAGGATAGTCAATGTGAATAGTCCTGTTTTCGATAGTTCCTATCTAAGATAAATTGTATGCAACTTCCGATAGCGTACGTAATTTCGTAAAATACAGTAATACAACGCTAACTAAAAATACTAATAACATTTTTTCTTCTTGTTTCAGCTCTGCTGCTTCCAGTTCTACCCACCGAGCGCACTCCAGCAATCTCCACATCACTTCCAGAGAAATTTCAACTTCCAGTTAGCACAAGGGGACCGCTTTCCAAAAGCTCAGTTTTTCTCCCAAACCAAGTGATAACGCACTCTAAATACGCTTCTCTCGCGAGCTTACGTCAGCTCAGAGCTCTATTTCTGTGATCGTAGTTTTTAGAAAACGAAAAAGTGATTCTCGAAGGACTCTAAATCGGTGTCTTTTTGGTTTCAAACAGTGATATTAACTTTAGTTATTAATACTGGTAATTATGTATAACTTAAACGTGAATCTAGCCACAACCGCGGCGACTGCTGCCACCAGCTTGCTGGCAGAGGGTGGGTCGGGTAATACGCCGCGCACTCCGGAGATTTTGAACTCGCTGATCGCCATGACCAACCCCATGGACGCGTATCAGTTTAATGGTGACGGTACCAAGAGTGTCACGAGGAGTGTGCCACATGCCGGTAGTAGTAGTGACTCGAATAGTTCCAGCAGTAGTCAGGTGAGCAAAAGAAATGATAAAAACGGTCTTAGTCTTGCTTTTTTACTGTATGACCAAACCAATACCAAGACTAGCATCAGATTTGCAAGATCAAGCATGGCGATCTTGTATTTTTTCCTTAAATTTAAAAGGATATATCCTTAAATTTGGTTTCAAATGTGGAGAAAAACTTTTGTTATAATTGTTCGTGAAAAATCATTTTGTAGAATGTAGTCAATCACTGCTACTCGATCCTTGAGTTATAACTCATCATACAGTCTATAATACATCATACATGAGGCTTTTCCTGTTGTAGGGGGACAGGGTATTTCCCATCCGTCTCTGAGAACAGATGTTTTTCCTCCAGGTGTTTAAACCCTTTCACGATTGGGATTTGGCCCTCCGTGGAAGCTTGTTCGTTGAGCTTGTCTCCGGCTGAGATACAACTTGTGAGGTGAAGGCGGGAGGATTCCTTTAACTTGTTCTCTTCTTAGATCTGATACCGTCGTTGTACCGAATCTATAATAGAGGATATATCCCTTCTTCTCTATTGTCTCCTTGGATTTGAGGTCAATTCCTATTGTAAGAACCTGACCATAACCCTCCTCCCTCGAGTTAATCACTCGCCAACTCAAGTGTCCTTATATTCCTTTACTGCAACCAGGGTCTCGGCCCCTGCCAATTCTTATTCGCCGTTCTGGTGTTTCCCCATTTTCCTCACTCAATAGAATCTGCATTCGCCGTTGTTTCTTATCTGCAATCTACTGAGCTGTTCGTTGAGGAGACAGTGTTCGGTTAGAATCTCCGTCATAATCCAATAAAGATTGTTCTTACTAAAGTCAAGGGAAACCTTTGATTTTTCTCTGTCGTAAGTTCTGAGGGACTTTTTTGAATGCCTTATACCGTTGCAGGATTTCCATTCCAGGTTACGGATGGAATCCTCCAGATTCTTCAGTTCCGCTTCAAGCTGGTTTCCGCTTGGAAAGCAGAACGGTTCTGGAGTTCTGAGACGGCTCCACAGAGGTCAGCTCTCCATCTTCGACATCAGCCGTACCAAAGTTCATGGCACGAATGGTCGTCGTCTCGGCGCACTCAGTGATAAGGTGTTCTGGTGTTTCCCCATTTTCCCCACAGAATCTGCATTCGCCGTTGTTTCTCAGCTTCAGCCTACTGAGGTGTTCGTTGAGGAGACAATGTCCTGTTAGAAACCGGGTGACAATCCGAAGATTGTTTTTACTTAAGTCAAGGAGAATCTTTGATTTTTCTCGGTCGTAAGTCCTGAGGAACTTTTTCGAGTGTCTTAGACCGTTTAGTGGAGTGTTCGCTCCATTTCTAGCTAGATCGTTTGCTTTTTCATTGCCTTCTATCCCTTGGTGAGCAGGCACCCAGAATAGGACTTTATTTTCTCTGCCTAATTTGTTCAGCTTCTCTAGGCATTCTTTAACCAATTTCGAATTGATGGTTACTGAGTTGATCGCTTTTAGTGCTGCTTGACTATCGGATAAGCAAGAAAACGAGTTATAACTCATCATACAGTCTTAGGGCTTTGACAAAGGCCATTAACTGAGACGGCTTTACAGAGGCTTGTAAGACTATAAAGGCTTTGGTCTTGGTATGGCATTTGCTCGTCACTAAAAAGATCACCAAATTTATTCATGTTAGTTAAAAGATATGCTATTTTATCTCTTGGTGTTATGTAGGTGGAATCCCCTACCGGCAACAATCCACCCTCTGTCCAGCATACCTGTTCCCAGCTGATCAAGGCCGGACTCAAACTAACCATCGAGCAAAAACGAAAACAGCAAGGCGACGGAGAAGACCTGTTGGACCTTGATTCGGTCAAGCGGCTGAAGAGGTGCCACGAATCGAGCGAGACTGAGGAGGACAGGATCAAACAAGAGCCCAACGGTGTAAGTACAGACTTTCTTTTTTTCTATCAGACAAAAGAATGCATTTTTCTCAGAATAAAAATATATAGGGTTATACAGGGTGTCCCCAAAAAAGTTACACATCAAAGTTGTGTAACGGAACACCCTGTATATTAATTGATTTTCGGATTATAAGAAAAAAATAAAGGTGAGTTTTATTAAAGAAGCATATACCGAAAATGTAAGGATTTTGACATATTTCACATTTTGTGAAAATGAAGAGTAAATTTTAAATTTTAATTATATCTACCTAAATTTTAGTTCACCTTGTATAGCCTGATATTTGGAATTTTGTTAAACCATTGTATGTTAAACCAAGTTAAAATTTGACCCGAAAAGTTATACAGGGTGAGACAACATTAATATGGAACATTAGTCACTTTTAAAAGCAAGTTAATCCTTTATTTTAAATGGAACACACAGTATATTATTGCGGTGTTCAGGAGAATTCATATATCATGAAAATATTATTAAGGTTGCCTACCCCTCAGACAAAGATTTTCCTAGATATTTTAATTTTTATGATTTTGCGTCAGTAGATCTTTCTTATTTGAAAAAATCTAGGGTGGCTGTGATATACCTTTTGTTAATTTAACAAAAATTAAACGATGTAGAGTAAAATACTCAAAGGTAATAAAAAGATACACGTTGAAAACATATTTTAATTATTAGAAAATTAAACTAGAACTATAATATGTGACAAAAATTAGCTGGATGAAAACAAATGCTCAAAATGCTTTCTTTCCTGTTAACTGCGTAAAATCATTGTCTTTTTAAAAGATCTTTTCATTATAAAAGGCATTTGTGGAGTTCTACTTCGAAAAGAAGCTACAATCATTTCTCTCATGTTGTCGACAATAGTTGGTCGAGTTTTGTAAACGCTGTCTTTAACATATCCCCATAAAAAAAGCCCAGACTAGATAAAATCAGGAGCATTTAAGTATTCTATTAATTGGTGAATGCACACTGCATTCACCAACTAATAGAATCATATCAATTCTCTTAGGATAAGTTTGGATATTCGGCAAATTTCTGAGTATTTTTTTTGTTTTAACTGACACAAAATGATAACTAGTTGTTAAAGTTAGACTAATTAGACAGCTATGTTGAAGTAACGTCAGATATATATCACAGCCACCTAGATTCTATCAAATAATAAAGATCTACTGATACTAAATCATATAAATGAAAATATCTAGGAAAATCTTTGTTTGAGGGGTATGCAACCTTAATAGTATTTTGAAGAAACATGAATTTCCCATTGAATATCGGAATGATATACTGGGTGTTCCATTTTAAATAAAAGGGTAACTTGCTTTAAAAGGTGACCAATGTTTAATGTTAATTTTGTCTCACTCTGTATAACTTTTTGGATCAAGTTTTAATTTGATTTAAAGTACAATAGTTACATATATTAACTACATATATAGGCTATACCGGGTAAATTCCAATTTAGGCAGGTTTGATTGCAATTTAAAAATTGCTCTTTATTTTTAGAAAATGTTAAATATGTCAAAAACCTTACATTTTAGTCATATACTTCTCTTATAAAACTCACCTTTATTTTTCTCTCAGAATCCGAAAATCAATTAATATATAGGGTGTTGAGTTACAAAAAACAACAACTTTGATATGTAACTTTTTGGGGGCACCCTGTAGAACTCTCTATATTTTTAAAAAGTGCTCTGAATTAATCTACATATGCTCAATGCTCACAAAATTTCATTTCAATACAAACTGTCGTTCTTCTTGGAGCGTCTGCGGCGTATGAGAGGCGCCCACCCTGTATATCAACGAGGAAATAATCTTTTAATAAACTGCATGTCCTGACCGACCCTTTAGATTCTTATCCATTTCTTATCCTCGCAAAGAATTTTATTTTCCTCGATAAAATGAAATGTTTATGGCTCTAACCGCGGGCGCTTTTGCATTTAAACAGTTTTTACGAGCTATTTTAACAATTTGCTCTATTTTTCGCTGCCACTCCCATACTACTTACTAATATAATCGAAAAATGTTTGGGTATAGAGTTCTGTAGGGCAACTTCCATATATTTCTTTAGTGTTTTTTTTATTTCATGAAGGAAATAGTTCATGAACAGAAAATTAAAGAAAATCTATTAATTTTGTTGTTAAAATTTTATTTCACTGTTGTTTTATAGCTAATTAACCTACTTTTTTATATTACCTCTATGAATATCATAGTAGGAGTTTTACTATACGGGTTCTACAAATTCGAGGTACGGGCATTGGTATCTCGGAAACCGTAATAGATAAGAAGATGGTTAAATTGTTGCAAAGTTGCGCCTTGGGCTGTTCACCAAGATGCCATCAAAAAAGTTTTAAAAATTTCAAGGATTGCTGAGTTTTTTGAAAAAAAAACGGATTTGTTGATAACTAATTTTATTTTTCCCTGTCGTTACTTTTTAGAAACTCAAAAAACTGATTGCACATTCTCATAACCACTTTATTAGGGCTATCTGACAGTACTTTTAGATTTTCAAATTAGCTAATAATTTGTGGATACTGGGCCCAACTTAATTTGTTTTAAATACGGACCTGCATATTTTATTTCAGATTTTGAAAGAACTCAGTCTTCTTAGTACAATGATATGCCACACTTTATACTTTTTTTTTGTTTTAGTTACCAGCAACAAAACTATTTAATTATTATTTAAAAAAAAATTCAAGTCCGAGTTTTTTAAATTATTTAATCTGATTATATTCATCGCAACAATATTGATCAGTGCTAATTAAAATTGAATAAGGAAAATTGAGGCAATTGAAAGATTTAAATAAATAATATCCAGATCAGCAATTTAACAACCTAATAACCCTTACATAGTCTACAACCTAACCTTCCCTATTGCACAAATTTATTTTTCGTTCAATTTTATTTATATCTTTTGAATAGATCTTCTTCTTATACTTTCGAACATGTTTCGAACGCATTTTGTACTCTTTATTTTAACCACAGATTATACAGATTATAATCTTTGTTTTTTCTTTATTGTTTTTCGTGGTTCCAATTTTCGGAATCGGGCACTAGTTAAGTGACTAGTTTGCGCACATAGGCCTCTAAAATTGTGCACAGCGCCTGACCGGCACAGTTATTAGAGAGATATCGGAAAACCGAATAGCGTCATCCAGTATTTACGCGTGCCTTATCATGGTTACGATATGCGCGAGTCAATTTTTAACGCAACACCCGCTAATAACGTTACCGCCTGACGTAATTTGCGGATCAATTACACCAAGCGCTCTTTATAAATAACCTCTGATAACGTTTAAAAATTGCTTAAATGGGCATGTGTGGGTATATGACAACCGGAGCCGGCCGCCGAGATCTTTTATTTTAGGTTATGTTTGAATTGTTTTGAATTATTGCTTTAGTTTTATTAGGTAATTTAATATTTAAGTAGCTGGGATTAGTTTTAATTAAATAAATATGGCCCAAAATATGGATTCCACCTTTTCCAATACTAAAGAACCTATAAAGAGACTTAGGTTTACAGCAGATGGCGACTTAGCCCTTCTAAGAGAATTTGTTGCTTGTTGCCCTAAACCCATTAGCAGACGTTGAACAATAAAGCACTGGAAATAAGCACTTTAGCCCTTTAGTTTTAAAATACCTAGTAAACAAAACAATTTCAAAGTTTTAAATTCAAAATTAGGTTAAGTTTAAATAGCGGACGCGACGCGATCAGAATTCTTTCCGTTCCGATAACTATAAATGAAGAGAGTTAATGCCACCTCACGTAAAGGAAATAACACCTGGCCTTATTAACGTCCATGCACGCTATTCGGTTTAGCGATATCTCTCTATTACGCTGTTTATTGTTATTTTACGCGAGTTTATTTTCGCGCACAGGAAATTTGACTCGTTTGCACATCGTCATAAAAAACAATTTTTGTACCACGAATTAGGGACAAGATTTTTATCTGTATACTTATAGGATACCTAATCTGTGTTTTAACTGCCGAAATGTGTTGATTTCACTTTTTGTAAAATTTGGACCTTTCGAATTACTTGACGTCATCAGACGGCCCAGGAATCTAGCCAGGAACCTCACCCCATTTCAAATCCATCTTCCGGGGAAATGATTTGTTTGTTTCTCTCCAAAAAAAAATCCTTTATGGGTATTTCGCCACTGGTGAAATATCCATAATTTTTCTTTTTCAGATGAATCCGCCACATAGGTATAGACATTTTTTATTTGATTGTTTATATTACATTTTATTTATATTATTTTTTATTATTTTATTGCATTTGATTTTTCGTATTCAACCCACGTCACTGTTAAGTTTGAAAACTTATGAATATATTAAATATTAAAAAAAACAGAGGCCGGACTTGAAATTAGTTTAAATAAATTGTGTCGAAATTTCCAAAACAAAAAAAAATATTAAGTGTGGCATATCATTGTACTCAGGAGTGCGAGTTCTTTCAAAATCTGAAATAAAAAATGCAGGTTTGTATTTAAAAAAAATTAAGTTGTCCTCTCTATCTCACAAATTATCAGCTGATTTGAAAATCTAAAAATACTATCAGATTGCCCTAATAAAGTGGCCATGAAAATGTGCAATTAGTTCTTTGATTTTCTAAAAAGTAACGACAGGAAAAAATAAAATTGATTTTCAAAAATATCTGTTTTTCCAAAAAACTTAGCAATCCTTGAAATTTTTAAAACTTTTTTGATGGCATCTTGGTGAACATCCCAAAGCACAACTTTGCACCGATATAATCATGTTCGTATCTATTACGGTTACCGAGTTACCAATGTATGTACCTCGAATTTGTAGCACCCTGTATAATGTTCAGCCATCGTTCACCGTCAAGTCATATATTGTCGAACTCTCTCAATCACTCGCCAACCAGATGAAAGAGATTGGTGACGTCATTACTATGTACATATTGTGATTTTTTTTACTTCAGTAAAAAAAAAAGTCTTTTCGTAAATTCGCATTCAAAATCCACCAACT